AGCCACTTCCGGATGATCCGTCATCGTGTTGACGATGCTTCTGTAGGTGTCAGGACGAATCAAGCCTGGGAAGCATTTGGCCAGAATGAGCTGAAAAAGTCGAGGAACATCAGAGTCCTTGGCGCATGCTGTCCTGTTTGAGTACGTTTGTGCAGATCTATGCTGACCATATGGAGAGCAGTTGCCGGTCCCTTGCTTTGCGGCCGACCATATCAGAACGCTGAAGAGAGATCCCCAGATAGGTCCAAAGCACCGCTAAACGTGATTTTAAGTCGGAAAGTCTGAACAGCCTGTCTAATGCACAAACCTTCAGGATGGAGGCAGCAAGATGATTTTAGAGCCTGGCTCTTGGTTTTCCCTGCTGGCCACACGTGCAACAGTCTTGAGTTCAATTTTTCTGGCAGACCTTGATTGGAGCGTTAGCCCTGGCTCTAGCAGGACGCACTGCACCAGGTACTGCCCCAGTGTTGCACGGGTAGCTTTTTCCAATGTGCGTCAGTCACTTAGCCACTTCTTGTTTCCTTCAAGTGACCATGAATGAATGAACTTAGCACGTGCTGGGATTCTAGAGGTGATGCACTTCCTGAGGGCAGTCTTCTTGTCCGCTTTGATTGCAGCGACAAGCCTCAAATGCAAGATCGTTCCTGCGGCTTTGGCCGCGGTGTCCTCCCGACAATTGCCGAGCTCCTGCACTGTCCAGATGTGTCATTGCCGCCAAGAGCACCTGTGAGTTTGCATGCAGCAGCTTGGGCATCCCATCTTGGAGTCGAGCGACGCTGCATGTCGAGACACTTCGAGTGGTCTTCTGAACCATCAGGCTTTGTGTAGCTTTTTGATAATGGTTGACACAGGCACCTCAAGTCATGCTGTCGAGGTGAATTAGATTCGGCAGAGGCGCTCTCGGCAAAAGAAACCTTGGACTAGCAGCGCTCATGCTGGTCTCATACTGACCTGTTTGGTACGTTCCAAGGACTAACGCTGAGAGAATCGAGTTTGTCCATGATTCCTAGCTTTTAACTTCCCCGTGTTATCATGCAAGCGCTAGTCACACATCCTGAACCCCACACCCAAAACTCCCAGTCCGGGAGCCGAGTGCTGAGAAAGATGAGCGTCATGCCGGGTAGCGGATTTTTCCGATTGACGCAGAACCCTGATCAGTAATTCCTGTGAAGGGAAGGGCTTTTTGAATCATGGGTCGACCTTACCCCTGTAATGCATCACTCCTTCATTCTGTGCTGGGGCAATTCCCACCGGGCAGAGTGTGTCAGGCCGTTCTGTAGTAGATCTGCTCTTCCTTGAAAGTTGAATGAACGTCCAAGCCTGCGGATACAACCCTGGCATTCAGGGTTATCTAAGGAGATCTTCGTTGCATGAAGCCTTCACGTGCAGACGTCAGCGCCCCAAAAATGCCTCTGCAGCTTCCTGACAAGAACTGCCCTGGGAGGATGCCTGTTATCCTGGGACTTATGGGGTTCAGTTATTGTCTGGCCTCAGACTGTAGGGATTCTTGGCGTTCACGGTTTTTGGATCCACAGGTCTGGGGGACAGCTAGAGCTACGGCTGCTCAGAAGGTAGCCACATCTTGGCGCCAGTTGTGTTGCAGGACCGAATGCTTGGTGTCGTCAACTTATTCGCAGACACTTCCCGCGAGCCAAGTTGTTGGCACTGTGATGAAGCCTCTGCTGCGGCCTCCAGGGCGCCAGACTAATCGACTCTAAGCTACCTCAAGTCATGACTGCCGGGAGAGCTTGTGTTCAGAGGACTCCAGTACGCCGTGAACTGCCTGCCAGGCAAAACTTCATTTTGCGCAGAGCACTTGGATGTGCGACAGGCATGCAGCTTGTTGCTTCATTTGCCACGAGTGCCGCAGCATCAGCAAAGCACCACTTCTCACTGGCTGCGCTCTTTCGGATTCAAAACTGAACAAACAACAAAGCAAAGCATAGCATGTTGACGAATGGAACTGGGCCACTTCAGCATCCCTCTGATGTGGGCCTTTGTGGAATTCATGGCCCTACAACTCTGCGTGAAGAGGTGCAGCCTGTCGCCCTAGCTTGAAAAACCACGCCCCACACCAGAGGATTCCATGAAGCAAACTAAATTATCTAAGTGAACCTGGCAGCAGCAGCGTCGCAGTGCGCGGTAGCTTGTGCCAAGCAGCCAAGTTTGAGCCTGGTTTGCTTGGACGCGGCTGCAGCACGCGTGCGGCAGCAGCCTCGCACGTGAGCTTCAATGATGCAAAGCTTGCGGAGGTCTTGTCTCCCCTGGCAAGTCTCTGTAGACCTACAAATGAGGTCCTGCCCTCAGCTTGCACAGGGTGGTGGGCACAGTGGGGAGCAATTTGTTGGCCAAGGGTGTGGCAGCCTTCTGTCTGCTGTGGTACATAAAGGAAAGATTCCAGGTTTGTCTTGCGTTGCTGTGCCCTCCCAGTGGAAAGCATTTGCGTGCCATGTCTCCTCGTGTGTTAAATTCCAAAGAAATGACAACCTTCAGAGTCCCCCACCCAAGGCCTTCCCCATGCAGGCAGATGTCTCCCACTGCTTTTCTTCTTGGACCCATATCCGATGTAAGCTGCCGAGTGGTCCGCATCCTTCACAGAATCATTTAGAACGCTGGAGCAAGAAGGCGACCTGTCTCCAGGGTGTGGGGACTCCTCATTCACAGACCTGCTATTCGAATCCCAAGTCTTCAGCTCAAGGGGCGATAAGTCAGAAATCCTGCCATCCTTCAAGAGCCTTCCTCAAGGCTTGGGACACCTGCCCAGCAATGTCTGCTCATTTCATTTTTATTCCCAGAATCACTCAAATCCTATCTTTCAGGGAGTGGTCTGCTTAAGTGATTGGACAGGGTGTAACCATGTTTACTAGATGGTGGCCGTGCCACTTGCTTTCCCTCTGTCTGCTACATTGTTGACAGAGTTCTGAGTGCACCTGTTGGCAGAGTTGGAAACAGAGGTGATGGTTGTCGGGTGCAGTGTCGTGCCAGCACGTACTAGACATGGGCATTTCTCTGGCATCTGTTTTGCAGCTGCTGCAACATTGCCCTTTGTAATCCTGATCCGAAATCCTAAGCCTGAAGATCCCGCGGTTCGGCGGGTGATAACGGGAGAGCCTTCAACTGCAAAGCGCGTATGGACCTGTTCTGGCCATTGCTATCTCGGCTCTTGTGCTGGCACCATATCTGAGATGTGCGTGTCGGCAAAGTCAGGGTCCCTATATTCGGATACGTGCCCATGCAGGACGCACGCCTGGGCATGTCAGGACACGACACTCCTTTGAATGTGGGCCTGCATTTTTCTTTGGAGAGCAGAGATCCCAAACTGTGGCCTTGAGGTTCAGTCCCTGGCTTTTGAAGTTTGGGGTGCAGGGGGAATAGGAGTGGAGGTCTGAAGGATTCATTGCAGTGCGCATGGCGTGAGTTGCAAAGGCACACTCTCAAGACGAGCTTTCTGAAGACACTTCAGAAGTTTAATGATGATAGTTGACCACTGTCGATGAGTTTAATCGATCGCATTTGCACGCAGCTTCGGGCTGAGCCCTTGCCCTGGTTCCTAAGTTTCTGTTGCTTTGACAGTCCAAACCCTGGCAGCGAGGGAGTAGCCAAACTTGGCTTACCACGCTTAAGGATGGATCTGTCTTCGCAGGTTTCCACTCACTTGTAGGTGGCTCCCAGGTCTATGGCTTTTGGATAGTTGCCGCCTGGCCATCCTGAAAAGCCTTTGGAGAGCTAGAATAGAAACTATATGGGGGTGGGTGATATCCCCTTATTCCCTACGAAGAGCCAGTAAGTTATGCCATGGTTCGAAGCCTGCAGCCATGCAGCGCGCCTGCGTCAAGTGTTGGACCATTGGACCTTGCGGCCTGGATCTGAACCCTGGGGCTCTGGGGTCCGCAGGTGGCTTGTCATAGATGGGGCATTGTCTCATTTCAATCAGCATTGGCCTGAGAAATTTCGGCCGAAAATCCGGGGAGTGCTCCCCGTAGCATCTTGGAAGGGAATTGGCACCAAAGTTTACTGCGCATGTGCCGCTGGAGATGTCGGTGGTTGCTCTTTACGCAAAGCAGGCTCTACAAGTGTCGCGTGCACACATGTGCCCCTGGCTTCCTGAAACATGCCGGCTGGAACATTGCAGGTTGATCAGGAGCTAAATGTTCGATCGACTTGAAAGCAATCTCCAGCTGCTAAAATTTTGCTGCGCCTAATCCAAGCATAGTCGACGTTTATGACTTGTGTGTTGTCTGGTTTCTTCTCTGTCTATCTCGACCCAAGTACGTCCTTGGAACTTCATGTCCTAGACCTGTGTTTTGTCTGTTCCAGGGTGTGGAATGAAGTTGTATCTTGGTTCTTCATGCAGCATCTTTCCGTGATGTTCCCATGAAATTGTGTCCCTAAACCCCAAACCCCAGACTGTCAAGTCATGTTCTGGCACATGTTCATGTTGGGAAGACGGAGTGAAGAAAAGGTATGCAGGTTGAGTTATAGCCCCCCTTAAGTAGGTAGAACAATGGAAAAGAACATGGAAACAGCTATATAGAGAGTTCTATAGGGATATGTTCCCCCTTAAGTAGATAGAATATGGGGGGGTTATAATGGGATACGGGAAGAGAAAATGGAAACTACCATAGTATATCGGGATAATGGAAAAGAAAATGGAGACTATTATTTAGGGTTTAGTGTTTAGGGTATGGCCCCCCTTAAGTAGATAGAATATGGCTTTGGGTATACTATCCCATATACCCCATGTTCTATCTACTTAAGGGGGACTATACATACTCTGCGAAATTTGAAAATCCTGATTTCGGATCCTTCTTGGCTCAAGTTTTAAAGCGGGTAGCAAGCCGCAACAACATCAACAACAGCAACATCATCAACAGCAACAACAGCATCATCATCCCATTTTTATGAGCGGCTGGCTGCCGGAGAAGGTTCCCAAGGGTTCAGGGCTTAGGTAGAAGACAGGCACCTCACATCCCAAGCTTTCCGAGCCCTGGTCTTCCTCAATGGCACCTGTCCATGCCATTACCCTGGACAATGTGGATGAGATAGTCGATAACCTGTACCTTGGTGGCATTAATGCCGCGCGCGAGACCGAAAACCTCGTGGAACAAGGGATTTGTGCTGTCGTCTGCTGCGTCCGCGAAACAGAGTTCCCAAGCTATGACTTCAACAAAAAGATAGACTATTACCGTGTCGATGTGGAAGATGTTTCCATTGAACCCATTGAGTACTTCTGGCCAGAAGCGACGCAGTTCATATATGACCATCACTCCAAGGGTCTTCCGGTCTTTGTGCACTGTCGCGCTGGTGTCTCAAGAAGTGCGTCCACTGTGATAGCATATCTCATGTGCCACCTTGGCTATACGTTGAAGGACGCATTCTTGCTGGCGCACAAGAAGCGCCCTGTGGTAACTCCAAATCTGGGGTTCATGGACAAGCTCAGTGAGCTTGAGAAGTCCATAAAGGGCAAGTCAAGCATCGACTTGTTCAAGTACGAGAGCTGGTGGAGTGGCTCCCACATGGCTGAAGTTCCGGATGTTGGAATTGAAGATGAAGTCACACCGGAAGCTGAAGTAGAGACACCCAAGCTTCCTGAATCCGGCACCATGCCTCGGGTCTCCAGTGCAGCCCAGAAGCTTCACGCTGCCTCTCGAAAGTTGAGGGTTCTGAGGGCCATGGCGAACCCGGAGCATCGTAAGCAGGTTCAGCTGGACATCCCCAATCTCTCTGATCCGGTGCATGAGGCAGTTGCTGGCAAGTTCTTCAAAGTGTTGGGTACTCTTTTAGGGGCACCGCGAATATTGATTGTAATATTTGGGGTCCCCTATTTCGTGAAATGTGCCCCAAACAGCAGCCTTGTGACTCACCGTAGCCAGAGAGGAGACCAACGTGCTGTAAACAACGCCCACCATGTGTGCAAGAGGGGATGACATGGACTCTACAGGGCTTCGAGCTTGGAGGGATTCACGGTAATGATATGGGTGGTTGTCAAAATTATGGTTTCTTTTTTGGGTCCCTATTATAATACGGCACCTAATATTTAGGGTACCCAAAAAGGGACCATTGTTTTTGATAACCACCCATATTTGCAAGTATTGAGAGTATACGGGTGCGCAGAAGAAGTAATCTGAACCCTCAATCCCAAAGCCAAAGTTCAAAAACGTTTACTCCTGACCCAGACGCCATAAACTCCAAGCCCGACTAAAAACCCATACCCCCAAGATACTGTGGTAGTTGCCATTTTCTTTTCCATGATCCCTTTATAAATCCCTATATAGTTCCTACATAACCCTAAGCCTTCAACCCCAAACCCTGAACCCTAAAGCTTCTTCCAGCCCTGACCAGGCCCGATTGGAGAGAATCCGCTCGCTCCTGATTCGTCAAGCGGCTCACGACCCGGAGCTTGGTTACTGCCAAGGCAGAGGAAGATAAGGTCTTGGGACTTTTTTAGGGATATTACCCCAATAATGGAGAAGCAAATGCAAACTAAACTGGGGGTATAGATACTGGGGTAACATTAGGGTTATATAGGGGTTATATAGGGATTATAAATGGTATCTTAGGGGTATGTTTTTTTGGGTTTAGAGCTTGCGGCCTGTTGTTGGTAGGGAATGGAAGATTGAATGGAAAAACACTTGCCAATGCTTTGCACGCAGGGTTCCTCGTGCTTTGGGTTTAGGGTTTGCTTGCTGCTTGTTGTTCGCATTGAATCCAAGAAGAGTCATTATATGGGTTTACTAAAATCTAGATATCCACTTCCCCTAAACCCTAAACCCTAAATCCTACATTCCCGACTAACAGCCAGTCAGCATTGGGGGCAGATGTGAGCTCAGGGCAGGTGGCAAGGGGGCTTGAGAGTGTAGTGCTTACTACTGGTTTTTGGTAGGGAGTAAGGGAACATAATCCATATATATATATGCCCTATATACTATATTCCCTTATTCCCTAGTAGCAACCAGTAAGGTTAGGGTCTGGGGAGTAGTATTGATGAGCAACTTCGGAGTGTTCGACTTCAGCTGCTACTCTGCAACATAGAATACCATCCGAGGAATCGATTTGAACACCAAAAAAGATGATTGTGATTCTCAGAAAATTGAGCTAGATCTTTATGAAAATCCATTGAGCCATCATCCCAACCTGAAACCCTAGACCCTGTTCGGTTGGGGATCTGCATTTGGCAGGTATGCACCTTAGCGCAGCCGTCTTCGTAGCCGCGTCGGAGTCCCAGGCCGACAATCTGTTGTTTTCTCGCACTTTTCTTTACTGTTGCTATTGCTATTACTGTCATTCTGGTCATTGTTGTCAATATTATTGCTACTATTATTAATACCATTATTGTTATTACGATTATTACTATTATGACTGTCATATACGAAATCTTATTACGCTCCTGAGGCCCTGAGGTTTGCCTTTGACCGCTTGTATAATGATAATGATACTAACACTAATAACCACGCTTTTTTGTTACTGATACGGACTGCCGCGGCGGCTGCTGGTACCGCCACCACCACGACCACCGCCGCCGCCGACACCACCACCACCACCACCACCACCACCACCACCACCACCACCACAACCACCACCCCGCCGCCGCCGCCGCCACCACCACCACTTCGGCGGCGACGACGACGACGACGACCACGACCACGACCACGACGACGATGATGACGACGACGACCACGACGACGACCACGACCACGACCACGACCACGACCACAACCACGACCACGACCACGACGACGACGACGACGACGACGACGACGACGACGACA